ACTAGTTTCCTTGAGTCGTACCAAATCTGCTGACGTTTCATAAAGGCAGGATCATCCTCTATTTACAGATATCTAAGCTAAATATTCATGCCCTCTACAGGCCTCTAAAGGCATAAAGCTGGTCACTTTAGAAAGGACTCAGCAAGTGACCTGGTGAGCAGGGATATATAGGCGTCCTTCAATCTAGTAACCTTTGACCCCGAAAGAGGTGGACCATATTCCTCGAAAAGGAAAGGAGCGTTCACAAAGCCACATGATTATAAATAACAGGAGGCCCATTAGAATTCATCGCGGCAAAATGCGTTTGCTCATCTGGAGTGTGATCTAACAGCACCGTTTAAACTCCCATACCTTTTGCATTACTGGTTGGCACAACCCCTAGCCTGGTGTGACACCACTCGACAGTAACACCCCCTCCAGATATCTAAACTTTTGTGTGACCAATGGGTCACCTCCCCTGGAAGTTCAGCCTTCACAGTGTATGTAACAAACCGGACGAGTCATAGGTCTTTTAGGTAAAAAAGTCCTCAACTGATGTCGGACATGTATCAGAAAAAGTCGCAGCGCCACATTTCTCCAGAATCAACAGCCTAGGGTTTGAGAGATTCGACATTGATGCTGGCCGTCATGGTCTAGCTAGGCTCGCTAGGCCGAAGGCACCCGGTTAAGAATCCTCGCAATCCCTCACGCTGTCGTGTTGCGTTGCACTGCTCGTAACCGACTCTCTGGCCAGTTAGTTGGAGTCCATCGGTATCTTGGCCCGACCTAGCAAATATACTATTGCATCCGACTACACTACTGTGTTCTTTCTTGGCCTCGTATTTGTGGTCAAATAACAAGTTTGAATGATAGATGACTGGTCTCTGCTTCTATCAAGTTCGCAGCAGGACAACTGCTATGGTTCATCCAATATTACAGTAATGTACAATCATCTTTGACACTATAAATGCTCGCGGTGGCAACCGAGTTGAGACCTTCCGGGGGAAATTTACTTGGTGTCTGCTCACTCATTATGAAACACTTGGCTGATAGGTAGGGTGTAGAAGAGCTGGGGCTTGAACCATTCTAGCTGAAGCGGCCGAAGCTCAACTTAACATTTACTGTTCGTCATTTGTGTGATACGCCCACAATGGACTGCTTCATGGCTCTTTAACAGACGCTGTCATGCAGGCACAGGATATACAATCATAAGTAATGCTCACAACTCTTATCCATCTTTTCATCACACAACGTAGCATGCCACGGAATAAACTCCTACTTCCTGTGCCTTCGTGCCAACCTCTCGATAAATTCGAATGAGTTCTTTGCATCCACTTATGTTTGGTTCCCCACTGATAACTAGCTCATTAACAGTGCCTCCACCTACGTTGGTATTGTTCAAATTTGAACTTGCCTCGGTAGCATATACATCTGTGTGTGTAGCGACCGAAAAACGACCATGCTGGTCAGAATTCGGTGTATAGTCTAGAACAGGTTTCCCCTTGGGCAAACACATATGACTGCATCATTTCTGTATGGTGCACCAATCTTCCTTGGGTTGCATGTAGCCAGAATGCAACTGATTTGGTTGTATCTAGGTTAACTCTTCAGCAATATTTGACCATCATACAATGCATGACCGAAAGGTGCAGCAAAAATGCCACCTTGACACTACGCGCCGACAAGGAAGTCTTCGATACAAAATATTAACTTATATGGCAGAACGGACCAGTTACTGATGAGCACTGCCTACTTTCAGCAAACTGAAAGCATTCTGAGCTTAAGGGACTTGAATATCTGTCCGCAGGTCAGGCCAAACAACAGGAATGTCCCAGGCAAACACAGAAATCAAAACCAAAACCACAATGGCCTCCAATATAACCGTGAGCAGAGTAAAAGGACAGCGAAGGTAGAAAAGAACTCTGAACCTTACAAATTATGGTTAGACGAAATGGGCCACAAAAACGAATGGAAATATAGTTCTACCCAAACTGGTAAACTGATATAAATATTCCCGTGACTTTAAATAACATCGAGAGTAAGGAAACGGGGCATTAAGAGCATATTTCGATCCGTGAACGGAAAATACAACAGTGAGGGCAAAAACAACTTCACAGGTTGTGGAGGAGGTATTTTCCTACTATTTTCTGAAACACCGCAAGCATCATGCCAAGCTTAGATTGCGCAAACCAAGTTAAAAATAGCCAAGAAACTCATGAAGCTGATGTGTAGTACATACAAAGTGTGATTGGTTTCCTAATACTGAGATGAGCTATGTGGCTGCTATGTTGAAGATGTCATTTCTTCATTACCTAATTAACCTACTGAGTTATCTGCTGTTCCATATTGAGCCATGATGAATGCAGGAACCACTTCTCCATGAACATAAATTACGTCTCTGGGCTATGCTGATACATGCTGTGCATGGAAATACACCGTATTTTCTAATTTAATTTAATTTTCTAATTTCTAATTTATTGTTACCTGTCACCTCGAAATTCAAAGATGATAAGCCATGATTTTCTCATGACCATAAGCTTCAGTAACCTCGCAGTTTTCAGAAAGTAAGGCTGAAATTATGTCAGCAAAAAGTATATTTTTGTACTCATAGCAGAACTAGTGGTGGGTTCTAGAGACTTGCCATCACGGAACAACGACAAACTGCCTACAGATATTATGGATTTCAAAATATCAGAGGTGCTGAAAGTGTCGATAGTCAGGTTGTTTGAACTTTTGCACATAGTACTCATGCGCCCAGTTTTACCACACTTTTGAGACAGCGTTGAGGTCATTCGCTTTGAAAAGAGGGGAGACGCTTTTACACTTAGTAAAATCTCTCGCATTTTTGCGCTTACACACCTGAGCCCATTGCGTTTTTCGCTGTGGTCGAAACCGTGAAATTCGAAGTTTATTACGACGGGGGTTAGGTGTTTGAGTTTTGTCAGTAACCTTGACAATCCAGGTGCGGAGAAGCACTACGCAGAAGCTGGGGTCAAATGTATTTCTGCTGTCATTTTTCATATGAATTATGGGAATGGAACTTATCGCCAGTCGACATAGCTTCAATATTAGAATCACTGAAATCCCATATAGCAAACTCTGTGGATACTGATCGCAGTTATTGAATCAGGACAATAAGCGCCCTAGATATGGTAGTGGATGAACTGCAGCCAGGGCCACTCAGAGAGCTCGGACCTCACTTAGACAGCCCCTTGACCACCACATTTAAACTTTCTTTCACAAAAGACAAGCTCCCACTTGACTGTAAGGGTGCTCTGTGGTGGCATAGTCATACCTATCCCCAAGGAGGGTTCTAAGCAGCACGGACCGGCAAGTTTGACTAGTACCTCAGTTGAAATCCTGGGAAAACCAAGGAGACTCAAAATAGATGCTGACCCTTATAGTTTTAAGGGACTAACTGGTCTGAGGGCACACGGTTATAGATTCAAGCCACTCGGTGCGTTGTAGGGTGTCGAGCTCTGAAATCTGACTCCAAATTTTATATACGTGTCCAGATACACTATCGCCTATTTATAATTCCCGACACTGCTGATCCACCTGCGTCAGACAGCGTAAATATCAGGAGTTAACGCGAAGTATATATCAGGATGTTGTATTAGTCAACGAGCGAGCAAAAAGTCTTTTTCAGTACAACTAAACAAAAAATGTTCAATGAGTTGTTACATACATCAACACAATACAGTGAAATAAAATGCTACATAAGTCCCTCCCCAGAATACAGATATAAGGGGGAATATCTGTGTTCGATATAAAATATTATGAGAAAGGTAAATTCATTTTGAAGATATTAAAAACATAGAAGGAATGTTAAGGATATCTATTATCAGGATGAAAACTGATTGGAAGAGTGTTTACATAAAAATGAAGTGTATGACATTCGAAACACTAAAATAACTTTACCAAAGTAATAATATATCCGGAGATAAAAAAAATTAACAACCAAAATCGTATTACCTGGAACATTGTTAAGAAATAAGAGATTCGGAAGTCCGTGGTGCCCGGAAAAAATTTTTTGTTTTGTGTATGCGGAAAAGTCTGACAAAATCGTGTGGTCATGTTTTCAACAAGGTAATGAGCAAAAACGATAATGTTACTAGGGAATTGGTTTTATGAAATGTAAATTGTCTGAAAGTAACGTCGTGGCCAACGGACTCTTCTTCCGGATCTCGTGGTTCTGCTACCGTCGCTACTATTGGGTGATTCCGATGCCGTTGTTTCTGTTTTGACGGTGGTTTTCGGTGTTTCCGGTTGCTTCACTGCGGGTTCAGACTTGGTATCCGTGACATCTGGTTCCATAAACGCTGGTTTGACTTTATCAATGCTGACCGTTTCTCGTCTACCCGAGCGTTCGACCGTGACAACTTTGTCTGATTTACTAATTACCTTGAAAGGTCCTTCATACGGGGGCTGTAAGGGTTTTCGTACGCCGTCGTGTCGGACGAAAACGTGAGTGCAGTTTGAGATGCACTGAGGTACGTAAACTTGGTTGTCTCGGTATCGTGGGGACTGAGGTCGAAGTGTGCTCATGTGTCGCCGTAGTTGTTGTACATAGTTAGTCAAGTCCGGTGGAACGTCTGTTGCCGGGTTAAAATACTCTCCTGGCAATCTTAAAGTAGTTCCATAAACTAACTCAGCAGTACAGCAGCCAATGTCCTGCTTGACACTCGAACGTATACCAAGGAGTACTAGTGGTAATTTGTCACTCCACTTGTCATCAGTCTTTACTGCCATCAGTGCTGCTTTTAGTTGTCGATGGAACCTTTCGACAATACCATTGGATGCAGGATGGTACGCAGTGGTTCTTATGCGCTTGATCCCGAGAAGTTCAGTTAACTGTTGAAATAGACTACTCTCGAACTGCGCACCTCTATCTGTGGTGATGACACTTGGGACACCAAAGTTAGAAATCCAGTGTTGGATGATATTTCTCGCTACTGTTTCGGCAGATATATCCTGCAGAGGTATTGCCACTGGCCATCTCGTGAATCGGTCTACACATGTTAAAATGTAGCTAAAACCATTTGACGGAGGTAGTGGTCCAACGATGTCAACGTGTATATGGTCAAATCTGCCATCCGGTGGGAAAATCTTCCCGTAGGTGAAAGAATATGTCTTTGCACTTTCGATCGCTGGCACGCTAAACAAGCTCTGGACCACTGTCGAAGATCTCGATTCATCTTTGGCCAGACGTATCGGTCAGTAATTAACTTCACCGTAGCTCGAATACCAGGATGTGAAATGCCATGCATCTTAGAGAAGACTAATCGTCTCATTGATAACGGCACAAACGGGCGCGGTTTACCCTTGGATACATCACAGGTGATGGATACAGAGTCATCAAGTGTCACTTCTTCAAGACGTAATGAGGTGTTCACATTGTTTTTCAAATGTTTCAAGTCCTCATCCGTGGCCTGCAACTTTGCCATTTCTGCTAGGTCAATACGGTCACGTTCTAAGACGTTTACGTACATACGAGACAAAGCATCAGCTGCCTCATTTTTGCTGCCTTTGATATACCTTATATCTGAAGTGAATTGTGAAATAAATTCTAAATGTCGAATTTCTCGGGGCGAGTAGTTGTCATGCTTTGCATCAATTGCTTTTGTGAGTGGCTTATGGTCGGTGAATACTATAAATGAGTACCCTTCGAGCATATATCTGAAGTGCTTGATAGCCAAGTAAATCGCCAGTAGCTCTCTGCCGAATGTACTGTATCGCGATTGAGAAGCATTAAGTCGTTTCGAGAAGAAAGATAATGGTTCCCACTGACCGTGAACAAACTGTTGTAGTACTGCGCCTACCGCAACATTTGAAGCGTCTGTCATGATGGCTAGTGGTGCTTCTGAATCACGACGAGAGAGAAGAGTTTCAGAACTTAGAGCCAGCTTCAGTTTGTCAAAAGCATCATGGGCCGCTTGGGTCATGTGAAACACTTTGGCTCGTCCTTGCAATAAATCTGTCAGCGGTTGGGCTACTTCAGCACATTTAGGTATGAAACGTCGATAGAAGTTTATTAACCCCAGAAATCTTCGCAGCTTTCGAAACGAGTCTGGAACAGGATATTCTCGAATTGCATCTACTTCTTGCGGAACCGGTTTAACACCGTTGGCATTAACAATGTGACCCAAAAACTGTAGGGATTCCTTGCCAAATTCGCATTTCTGCGGATTGATTGTAATGCCATATTCACGCAGTCGTTCGAAAAGCGTCCTCAGATGTTGCAGGTGCTCTGTTTCAGATGCGCTAGCTACTATTAAGTCATCTATGTATGCACTGACGAAAGGTAAGCCATGGAGTACCTGATCTATAAATCTTTGGAATGTTTGAGCAGCATTTGTCAAACCAAACGGCATACGAATAAATTCGAATAGTCCGAAGGGGTAGTGATGGCCGTCTTAGGAACATCATTGGGTTCCACAGGAATGTGATAGTAAGCTCGCACGAGGTCAATCTTGGAAAAAATATTTACTTTTGTCATAGAGTTCATAAAATCATGTATGTGAGGAATTGGATACTTATCAGGGACCGTACGCTTATTCAACGCTCGATAATCACCGCAAGGCCGTATTTCCCCTGATGCTTTTTTAGGTACCATATGCAGGGGTGATGACCATGGGCTTGGAAGGGCGTATAACTCCCAACTTTAGAAGTTTATCAAATTCCTGTTTTGCTATCTGCAGCTTTTTAGGGTCTAAGCGTCGAGGTTTCGATGAGACTGGAGGACCTTTTGTAAGAATATGGTGCGTCACCGTATGTTTTGGAGAGGACTTCGTGTAATCCGTTTGAGTGAGCTCGGGAAATTCTCGCAGAAGGATATCGTACTCGGAAGTGTTGTTTATTGGAGCTACGACTAAGTTTATTGTTTTTGTCTCCGTAGCGATACCGGTGATAGAAAATTCACCATTACGGCTGACTAGTCTATGGCGACTAGAGTCGACCAATAGTTCGTAGTGTTGAAGGAAATCCATGCCAATGATAGGCGACGATATGTCAGCTATGACGAATTCCCACTGGAATGGTGTATGAAAGCCAATGTCTAGGATCAAAATTCTGGTCCCATATGTAGTAATAGCAGATCTATTTGCCGCTTGTAGTACCAAAGTTGGGTTGGGATGGCGTTTTTCGGAAGGTGTGGGTGGGATCACGCTCACTTCCGCTCCAGTGTCAACCAGAAACTGAGCTCCAGTCTTCCTATCCGTCACTCGAAACAAACGACTGTGTTGTTGTACGCCGGCGACAGCAGTCGTCACTGATCGCCGGCCTTTCCGTTTCCCGATGAAAAGGTTTTAAAGTCGCATGGTAACAAACAACGACGTGCTTTACTGCCAAACTTCTTGTGATACCAGCACGTGCTACTTTTAGACGCAATTCTACTCGTGGTCCTATCACGACTACGGGATCTGCTTCTACAGAACTTCGGTGACCGTCGGTTTAACTGCAAAGCCGTCAGTTGTCCTGTAAGTATGTCTATCTTCCTCTCTAAAGCGGCCACTCGGTCGTTTTGCGTTGGCTCAGCAATACTTTCAACCGGTTTAGGCATCCTTTCGTACATACGGTCAGCGATGTCAGCCAACCTGTCAATGTCCGCATCTCCGACAGCTAATATCTGCTGAATGCATGAAGGAAGTCTCCGCAGCCAGAGCTGGTAGAATAAACGGTTGTCTACTTTCCTATCTTTCAGCAGACTTTGCATATGTCGCTTAAGTTGTGAAGGTGTTCTGTCACCGAGGCATATGCTACTTAGTAGTTGATCGACAGCCTTCTGGTCAGATAACGAAGTAGCTTTCAGCACCTCCTGCTTCAAAACATCATAAGGTGTGTCTGGGTGGGGCTTTAGTAGTGTCTCCCTTACTTGTTCAGCCACTTCTTCCGGCAAAACAGAGCTTGTGTATCCGAACTTTGTGTTTTGTGAAGTTATATGATTGGCCATGAAGAAATGTTCTAGACGGACAAACCACAATTGCGGGTCGTTAAACTTAAAACAAGGCATAGGAAGATTAATGGCACCCACGGACCCTAAATTCGAAAAGTCTTGATTATGAGAGTTTAAGGACATCAGTACTGGTACAGCAAAAAAATATTTAAGAACAAGAGCAGGAAAAATACAATAAACAAGTATGTCAATGCCTACCACAAAGCAGCCAAAGAAATTCTCAGTATATATGTATATCCGTATTGTATACAGTCATTAATGGCCGGTTGCAGTATTCAATTGCGAGAGTTTAATCACGTCGGGCTCACCAGTTTGTCGAGCTCTGAAATCTGACTCCAAATTTTATATACGTGTCCAGATACACTATCGCCTATTTATAATTCCCGACACTGCTGATCCACCTGCGTCAGACAGCGTAAATATCAGGAGTTAACGCGAAGTATATATCAGGATGTTGTATTAGTCAACGAGCGAGCAAAAAGTCTTTTTCAGTACAACTAAACAAAAAATGTTCAATGAGTTGTTACATACATCAACACAATACAGTGAAATAAAATGCTACAAGCGTTACGCTGCGCTGCCAGTATGCAACCCCTGGCTACTTAGTCAGAAAGCATCGGAATTTGAGCAACAGCTGTCAAACATAGTGTTTCACTTGGCTACTTTCTTGTATTCTTTCATGGCCACTCATTTGTGGGCATATAACAAGTACGAATAATTAGTGGTCAGTCTTTGCACCTGCCAAGTTCGGGTAAGATCGACTTCTTGAAGTCCAACAAATAGAAACAAATAACGATAAACATTTGTATAGCACCGGGGCTGGAATAGTCCTTCGCTGCATCTGAATAGTCCGTTGATTGTACTATTGAGAAAGAAAGCTAATCAAATTTGAGCGGATGGACATCAGAAGAAATTTGATGAAAATCAAGAAGCTACTCACCTCGGTTTTGCATCGCACCTCCTATGACTCATCACTGATCACGTTAGTTACCTTAGATGCTGAAGATTATGACATTAATGTGGGACATCATGCAATCTCCTAAATTGGTTGGAGAAGGTTGTTTCATACCTCTTTGTCATCAAAGTTCACAGAACTCAGCAACAAGCAGAGTCAAAGAAGCATTATCTATAATTTTGGACTGAAGAGGTTTTTCGCCATGAATGCACAACGGTAGTTGTCCGAAATGAGTAATAATGTGAGTAAGAATAATGCAGATAGGTACCACCCCTGTTCTACCGGAATGTTACCTGTCTTGTCTTACCAGACAGATGGAAACAAAACCCTTAACAGTGAGAGGCATTTTAGAAGCCACATACTACGTGATTAGAAAAAGATGTGGTTGTTTGATATACAGTGCACACAGAACTAGTATCAACGTTATTGTGATATTGGTGTATCGAATACTTACAAGGGTATTTGAGTAAAATTGCATAGGGTGGTCTACAGCAGTCATAGACCTAACTAAAACCTTCTGTTAGTAAGAGAGGTAACAGAATTCTTCGACCGTACACCATAACAAGGAGGAACAATCGTTTTCAGAAAGCCCCTCAAGGAAGTTACAGCGAATTTAAAACGTCATCAGCTTATGGCTTTCCTGAAGGTCGGGGTCTTCGTACCTTGAAACAGCACCTTCTAGATTTCGCATAAAAGCCACAAACATTTATGAAAGCCGTCACAACCAATCCGTGTGTCAAACACTCACCTAGAACCACTTATTCACGTGCACGAGCCACAGATAGTCCTGTCGAATCAAATGGGCAGGAAATATTCTGCTAGAAAAGTGTTGAGTCTGCACAACAGATCCCAAGTGTGTGCATATGAGCCCAGGTGCCTCCATTTCTTCCTAGTGCTCAAAACGTTGCAATGTCAAACAGCGTAAACAACAGAAGATACCAGTGAAAATTGTGAGGAATATATCTACAGTTCAATCCAAAGTCCGCAACCAGTCAAGTATTGTTCAAATAGGGTACAAAATAAAAAAACGCATTCATTTACAATGTTAACGCCAAGTAAAGAAATGGAAAGTCTGTAACACTGATAAAAGTGTGGAGAATATGGGTGCTGGCGAAAGATATACAACAATACATTTTTACACACTTTTGGCTTGACAACAAACTCCTTTTTGTTCCACCTTTTCTTGTTTCTTGATGAACTGAGAAACCTTTCAGGGCGTTCTACTCAGCAATAATAAATATGAAAGAAAGGGTTTCTGTCATATGCGACCACCAAAATGAAAAGCAGCACAACAGAATGTTCACAAAAAAGAATTTTGGTCACAAAGTCAATAAACGATGCAAAATATTTTCAAGAAAGTAGGGTTACTTAAGAACAGTAGTACTGGGTCCTGTTTACCCCAAATTGAGTCTCTACTTCATGATTTGTAGGGTCGAATTATGTAACGACAATAAAGCTTGGTAAGTACCGATACTTAGTAGAATGTTTACGCCTTTCTAATGAGGAGATACGTTCTTTCAAAAGAATCTATGAGATGTGGTCGTAGGCAGAGGCAGAAACAAGCGGGACACATGGGGAGCAAGTCACCGTATATTTCCACGCATTTGAGATCACAAAGCTATATTTGCAAGAAACTGGATAGTAAAGATGTAAAAAACTCTGGTTTTGCAGAAGTCTAGAAAAATGTACAAAGTGGAGAGAATAACGCTAAGAAATACTACTCTCCACTTAAAGATCTATGATAGTATTTATGCCATCTGTGCGACGGTCAATTCTTAAGTTACTGTTCAAGAGTTCACACGTGGTTCATTTACTGACTTCATACCATTCTGCTGCCGAATAAGTACTTTGAGAAACATTTTTGTCAGTGGTCATTGTTGTGGTTACTGTGTGCGCGACGGTACTGGTTTCAGACGCGTCCTAACGTGAATCGGATATTACGAGCAGATATCACCTGTGCTTGACCAGAATGTTACACGCCTTATCCTAACCAACAAGCGCCAATCGAACACACGGCAACGACAGGTAAACCAAAAGACAAACGCTACAGGATTCAAAAAGGTGTAATTAAATTAATTAAGTTGTTCACTGTCCAATGTATATAAAAAAGTTAGTTTCAATATTAACGTGATATTGGTACACACAATATTCGTCAAGAAATTTGAATGAAGTTACATAGGGTATGCAACATCTGTATGACCTTTATTGGAATACTTTCTCTTTAACTTCTTTGAATAGATTAGAATTGAAAAATTAAAAATGTTCCTAAATGGTTCACATTTAAACATGGAAAGTAATTCAGATAGGAAAATTTTATTATCAGTGAATCATTTTCAGCAGCTGAACAGTCGTACTTATAGTAATAACAAACAAGCAGACTGGTATATTACTGGCTATTCGGTCAGTACTAGGTCATCAAAACGAGTTGTTCTAGAGTAAAATAATGGGTCAGTTGTGGAGTTAGA